GTACTGTTTTGATTATTATAGCTTTGGAGTATTTTGAAATCAAGGAGTGTGATGTCTCCAGCTTTGTTTTTCTTTTTCAAAATTGCTTTGGCTATTTGGGGTTTTCTGTGGTTCCATACAAATTTAAGGAGTGTTTTTTCTACTTCTATGAAAAATGTCAGTGGAATTTTGTTGTGGATATCAAAAGCAAGAACAAGATATTCAAGAATGTTGGATATCTTTCTGTCTGTCTTCAGTTTCTTTCATCAGTATCTTCTTATTTTTAGGATATAGATCTTTCACCTTCTAGGTTAAATTTCTTTGAGTATTTTATTTTTATTTTTTTTTAAAGATTTTATTTATTTATTTGACACACAGAGAAAGATCACAAGCAGGCAGGGGGGTGGGGGAAGCAGGGTCCCTGCCAAGCAGAGAGCCCGACGTGGGACTCAATCCCAGGACCCTGAGATCGTGACCCGAGCCGAAGGCAGAGGCTTAACCCACTGAGCCACCGAGGCACCCAATTCTATTCTTTTTGATGCTATTTTAAGTGGGATTGTTTTCTCAATTTTTTTTTCAGATACTTTATTACTAGTGTATGTAAATGCAGCTTAGTTTTGTATATTGATTTTTTTTTATCTTGCAACTTTACTGAATTCATTTATTTAATAGTGTTTTGGGGGAGTCTTTTTTTTTTTTTTTTAAGATTTTGTTTATTTGAAACAGAGAGAGATCACAAGTATGCAGAGAGGCAGGCATAGAGAGAGAGAGGAGAAAGCAGGCTTCCCGCTGAGCAGAGAGCCCGATGTGGGCCTCGATTCCAGGACCCTGAGATCATGACCTGAGCCGAAGGCAGAGGCTTAACCCACTGAGCCACCCAGGCACCCGGGGGAGTCTTTTTTTTAAGATGGAATATTGCTTGATAGGTTTTTTGGGTTTTTTTTTTAAAGATTTTATTTATTTGTCAGGAAGAGACCATAAGCAGGGAGAATGGCAGGCAGAAGGAGAAGCAGGCTCCCTGCTGAACAAGGAGTCCAGTGTGGGACTTGATCCCAGGACCCAAGGATCATGACTCCAGCTGAAGGCAGACACTTAACCGACTGAGCCTTGCAGATGTCCCAGTGTTTTGGTGGATTCTTTATAGTTTTCTATATGTAAGATTATGTCACCTGCAAACAGATAACTTTACTTCTTCCATTCTGATTTGGATGCCTTTTACTTATTTTTTTTCCTTAATTACTCAGGGCTAGGATTACCACTGCTGTTATATTGGATAGAAGTGGAGCGAGCGAGCACCTTGTCTTGTTCCTGACAAGGAACAGAGACAAGGACAGAGGCCAGGAGAGGGGAAGAGGGAAGCTTTGAGCTTTTTTTTTTTTTTTTTTTTTTTTTTTTTTTTTTTTAGCTTTGAGCTTTTGATCGTTGAATATATTAGCTGTGGGCCAGTCAGATATACTGAGTTTCGTTGCTTATATATCTAATTTGTTAGTGATTTTTTTTTTTTTTTACCATGAAAGCATATTGAATTTTGCCAGATGCTTTTTCTGCATCTATTGATATGGCTATACGATTTTTACCCTTTGAACTGTTACTCAGTTATGGTGGTATATCATGTGTATTGATTTACACATGTTGAACTATCCTTGCATCTCAGGGATAAATCTTGATTGATTGTATTGTATGATGCTTGTAATGTGCTTTTGGATTTGGTTTGCAAGGATTTTTTCTTTTAGGAATCTTGTGTTTCTGTTCATCAAGGATATTGGTCTGTAATTTTCTTCTCTTGCATTGTCCTTAAATGCCTTTGACATCAGGGTAATGCTGGCCTTGCAAATGAGTTTGGAAGTGTTCCCCCTTCAGTTGTTTGGAAGACTTCAAGAAGGATGGTGGGGATACCTGGGCAGCTCTCTCAGTTTGTTGAGCATCTGACTATTGATTTCAGCTCAGGTCATGATCTCAGGGTTGTGAGATGGAGCTTGGGCTTCATGCTCAGTGAAGATTCTGCTTGAGAGGGGCGCCTGGGTGGCTCAGTGGGTTAAGCCGCTGCCTTCGGCTCAGGTCATGATCTCAGAGTCCTGGGATCGAGTCCCACATCGGGCTGTCTGCTCGGCAGGGAGCCTGCTTCCCTCTCTCTCTCTCTCTGCCTGCCTCTCCATCTACTTGTGATCTCTCTCTGTCAAATAAATAAATAAATAATCTTTAAAAAAAAAAAAAAGATTCTGCTTGAGATTCTCTCTTTCCCTCCCTCTGCCCCTCCCCCTGCTCGTCCTCCGTCTCTATATCTCTAAAATAAATAGATCTTTGGAGCACCTGGGTGGCTCAGTCATTAGGCATCTGCCTTCTGCTCGGGTTGTGATCCCAGGGTCCTGGGATCCAGCCCCATGTCGGGCTCGCTGCTCAGGAGGAGCTCCACTTCTCCCTCTCCCACTCCCCTTACTTGTATTCCCTCCCTCGCTGTGTCTCCCTCTCTCAAATAAATGGATAAATTATTTAAATAAATAAATAAAATAGACCTCTGGGAAAAAAAGATGGTGTTAATTCTCTAACTATGTAGTGGAATTCCCTCTGATTCTATCTGTTCCTGGGCTTTTCTTTGTGGAACATTTTCTCCTTGCCAGTTATGAGTCTGTTCACATTTTCTGTTTCTTCATTATTCAGTATTGTCAGGTTGTACCTTCCTTCCTTCCTTCCTTTGTTTTTTTGGTTTGGTCGTTTGTAGGTTTCTGTGAATTTATCCATGTCTTCTGGGTTATCCAATTTGTTGGCATATAATTGTTCATTGTTGCCTTTTGATAGGTTGTATTCCTACGGTATTGGTTGTGATGTTTCCTCTTTCATTTCTGATTTTATTTGAGTCTTTCTTTTTTCTTAGTGTAATTAAATGTTTGTCAATTTGTTTATCTTCTCAAAAACCCAACTCTTAGTTTCATGGGTCTTTTTCTGTTGTTTTTTAATGTCTATTTCATTTATTTCTGCTCTGGTCTTTGGTATTTGCTTCTTTCTGCTTTGACCTTTGTTCCTTTTCTCATAGGTTGAGGTATTAAGTTGCTTATTTAAAATTTTTCTTTTCTCTTGGGGCACCTGGGTGGCTCAGTGGGTTAAAGCCTCTGCCTTCGGCTCAGGTCATGATCCTGGGGTCCTAGGATCGAGCCCCACATCGGGCTCTCTGCTTGGCGAGGAGCCTGCTTCCCTCTCTCTCTCTGCCTGCCTCTCTGCCTATCTCTATCTGTGAAATAAATAAATAAAATATTTAAAATAAATTAAAAATTTTTTTTTCTTTTTTTTAATTTAAAAATATTTAAAAAAAATTTTATTTATTTGACAGAGAGAGATCACAAGTAGGCAGAGAGGCAGGCAGAGAGAGAGGGGGAAGCAGGCTCCCTACTGAGCAGAGAGCCCAATATGCGGGGCTCCATCCCAGAACCCTGGGATCATGACCTGAGCTGAAGGCAGAGGCTTTAACCTACTGAGCCACCCAGGTGCCCCAAAATTTTTCTTTTTTCTTAATGTAGATATTTATTGGTATAAACTTCCCCCTTATAACTGATTTTCTTGCATCTGTAAGGTTTAATGTGTTAGGTTTCTATTTTCATTTGTGTACATAGATTTTTTTTTATTTCTTCTTTGATCCATTGTTTGTTTGGAAGAATGTTGTTTAAATTCCACATATTTGTGATATTTTCCAGCTTAACTTCTGTTAATGATTGCTACCTTCGTGCCATGTAGTTGGAAAAGATGCTTGATATGATTTTAGTCTTCTTAAATGTTAAGAATTGTTTCATGGGGTGCCTGGGTGGCTCAGTCGGTTAAGCATCTGCCTTCAGCTCAGGTCACGATCCCAGGGTTTTGGGATCCAGCCTCTCATTGGGCTCCCTGCTTGTCTGGGAACCTGCTTCTCTCTCTGCCCCTCCCCCTGGCTGTGCTTGCTTTCTCTCAAATAAATAAATACAGGGGCGCCTGAGTGGCTCAGTGGGTTGAACCTCTGCTTTCAGCTCAGGTCATGATCCCAGGGTCCTGGGATCAAGCCCTGCATTGGGCTCTCTGCTTGGCAGGGAGCCGGCTTCCCTTCCTCTCTCTCTGCCTGCCTCTGCCTACTTGTGATCTCTCTCTGTCAAATAAATAAAATCTTAAAAAAAATAAAAATAAAAGTAAAATAAATAAATACAATCTTAACTTATCTGAGATAGGGGAGAGATCATGAACAGTGGGGAAGGATAGCGGGAGAAGCAGACTCCCTACTTAGCAGGGAGCCTGATGTGTGGGACTCGATTTCAGGACCCTGGGATCATGACCTGAGCTGAAGGCAGACACTTACCTGACTGAGCCACCCAGGTGCCCCAAATGAATAAATAAAATCTTAAAAAAAAAAAAAGAGTGTGCCTGGATGGCTCAGTCAGTTAAACATCTGCCTTTGGCTTGGGTCATGACCCTGGAGCCCCATGTTGGGCTCCTGGCTGAGCAGGGAGTTTGCTTCTCCCTCTGACCCTTCCCCTCTCATGCTCTCACTCTCTCACAAATAAATGGATAGAATCTTAAAAAAAAAAAAAAAAAAAAATTCATGACCTAACATATGAGAGAGTTCTCGAGAATGTTCCAGGCGTATTTGAGAAGAATGTATTCTGTTGCAATTGAAGGGCATCTTCTGTATATATCTGTTAAGTGCATTTGGTGTAAGTGCAGTTCAACTCTAACATTTCCGTAATTGATTTTCTGTCTGGATAATCTGTCCATTGTTGATAACAGGTTATTAAAGTCTTCTACTGTTACTGCATTGCTCTCTATTTCTGTTATTTGCTTAATATATTTAGGTGCTTGGATATTGGGTACATATTATATCCTTTTGATGCATTGACTTCTTTATCATTGTGTAGAGATATTTTTTTGCCGGATAATTTTTGACTTTAAAGTCTACTTTGACATAAGAATAGTTATCTGCTCATTTTTGCTTTTCATTTGTATATTTGTAATTAGATTGCTCTCTTCCAATAAAGTGTACGTCACAAGTGTTTCTTTGTGTTCAGGTTGCTCCTGTCGAGCAGAGGCTGCGGAGGCACCCTTTGAACAGAGCATTTCTGTAGGTGTGTCACAGGCCAGGACTCCGAAGGAACCTCGGTCTTCCCAGAAGACCCACCCCTGTGAGATGTGTTCTTTAGTCTTGAGAGAGATTTTCCACTTGGTTGGGCACCAGGGAAAACAGAACAACCAGAAACTCTTCAAGTATGGGGCACGTGTGAAGCAAATTTATCCTAGTGCAAACCTTCAACAGCATGAGAAGCAAGCCATGGGAGAAAAACCCATCAGAAGCAGTGTGGATAGGGCTTCACTTGTGAAGAGCAGCAATCTCCATGATTCGGGAAAGCCCTTAACGTATGAGGAGGTTGAAAAGGACTTCCTGGCCACCTCAGAGCATCAACAACAACAGACCACTCATACTGGGGAGAATAAAATCACTGAGCGTGGGGTGACTTCTCAGAGCATGAAAAGTCATCGCACCTGGGAAGAATGCAAGAAAGCTATTGGTCCCAAACACACACTTGTTCAGGACCAGGGTGTCCACGCTGGAAGACAGTGTCTCGTGTGCCCTGAATGTGGAAAAACATTCAGGTACAAATCCTCACTTATAATTCATCAGAGAGTCCATACTTCTGACAGGCTTCATGTGTGTCGTGACTGTGGAAAATCCTTTAGGGGAAGCTCAACCCTCAGTCAGCATCGAAGAATTCATGCTGGGCCAAGGCAGTGCAAATGTAGCAAATGTGGGAAATCCTTTAGCCAAAAATTTGTCCTTGTTCATCCTCAGAGAAGTCAAACTGATGAAAATTGTTACGTGTGCCGTGTATGTGCTCAGACTTTTAGCCAGAGCTCCATCCTTACTCAACAACGTACAGTTCATACTGGAGAAATGAGTTATGAGTGCACTGAATGTGGGAAATCTTTTAGACGAAAATCTGATCTCATTGAACACTGGAGAGTACACACAGGAGAAAGGCCTTATGAATGTAGTGAATGTGGAAAATCTTTTACTTCTAGCTCTGCGCTCCGTTACCATCAGAGAATTCACACTGGAGAAAAACCTTATAAATGCAGTGAATGTGGAAAGTCTTTTACCTCTAGCTCTGGCCTCCGTTATCATCAGAGAATTCACACAGGAGAAAGACCATATGAGTGTAATGATTGTGGGAAATCTTTTACCCAAATAAATCACCTTATTATACACCGAAGAGTTCACACAGGAGAAAGGCCTTATGAATGCAGTGAATGTGGGAAATCTTTTAGCCACAAATCTTACCTCTCTCAGCATCAGAGAGTTCACACGGGAGAAAGGCCTTATGAATGCAGTGAATGTGGAAAATCTTTTACCTCCGGCTCTGCCCTCTGTTATCATCAGAGAGTTCACACTGGAGAAAAACCTTATGAGTGTAGCGAATGTGGGAAATCTTTTACCAATGGACCAATACTAATTCGACACCGTAGAGTTCACACAGGAGAAAGGCCTTATGAGTGTAGTGAATGCGGGAAATCCTTTACCCAAAGAAATCACCTCAATATACACCAGAGAGTGCACACAGGAGAAAGGCCTTATGAGTGCAGTGAGTGTGGAAAATCCTTTACATCTGGCTCTGCCCTCCGTTATCATCAGAAAGTGCACATTGGAGAAAGGCCTTATGAGTGCAGAGAATGTGAGAAGTCTTTTACCTCTACCTCTGCCCTCCGTTGTCATCAGAGAGTTCACACAGGAGAAAGGCCTTTTGACTGCAATGAATGTGGGAAATCTTTTAGGGATAGTTCCCAGCTGAGTCAACACCAGAGAGTTCACACTGGAGAAAAGCCTTATGAATGTAGTGATTGTGGGAGATCCTTTAGTCAGAATTCATACCTCTCTAAACACCGGAGAGTTCACACTGGAGAAAGGCCTTATGAGTGCAGTGAGTGTGGGAAATCTTTTACTTCTGTCTCTGCCCTCGGTTATCATCAGAGAGTTCACACTGGAGAAAGGCCTTATGAGTGTAGTGAATGTGGGAAATCTTTTACCAATAGCTCCATACTGATTCGACATCGCAGAGTTCACACAGGCGAAAGGCCACACGAGTGCAGCGAATGTGGGAAGTCCTTCACCCAAAGAATTCACCTCATTATTCACCGGAGAGTTCACACAGGAGAAAGGCCTTTTGAGTGCAGTGAGTGTGGGAAATCTTTTACCTCTCGTTCCACCCTACATTATCATCAGAGAGTTCACACAGGAGAGAGGCCTTATGACTGCAGTGAATGTGGGAAATCTTTTAGCCGAAAATCTAATCTTTCTCAGCATCGGAGAGTTCACACCGGCGAAAGGGCTTAGATGGGTAGGAAATGTAGTTTCCTTGTTCAGTGTAATGATACGAGAGGAAACCCTTTGTGAGGCACCATTTGTCTGAATTCAGTCTTCTACATCCAAGTGCCAATAGCAGAGAGATTTCCCTTAAGTTTCAGTTACGTGGAAGCACGTGTGCCTATGTGGCCTATGTTGCATTTTCTAAACTGCCCAGGGCTCTTTCCAGAATTATGTCGCTGCCAGTTTGTGGCCAAAACTGTGTACTTCAACCACCTGGCAAGTCTCCACAACGTGCATCAGTCATCACCCCACTGTGCTCAGGGAAGCTGACCTCTGTTCTCATTTGTTGGAGGAAATTAGGAGTAACCTGAGTCCTTAGGGGGACCTTGACTTTTTTCTGACTAACTGGCATGGACCCGACCCGCATAGTCCTAGAGAACACCGTATGAGTGTAGCTGACAGAAAAGGACCACCCTTTGCAGGGACATGGTCTCTTGAGATCTTCGTGATTAATTTTTCCAGCTTCCAAGTCACTTAACTCAAGAACTGCTAGCTCCTCTTGCTTTGGCTTGTGCAATAACAAGTCCTTGCTGTTTAAGTCCTCTTTGATCTTGGCTGTTCTACTTACCATGTATAGTGGTTTATAAACATTTTGAAGTCTGCAAGCATGAAGGGGTGGACAGCTTTCATTGGGGTGGGTCTCAAACTTTCTGTGCCTCAAGGGGACAGTAACAGTGGCAGAAATAGCTTACCAGTTTTTGCCAAATTTGTACTGCCCGTGGCCTCCTAGGAAAGACTGCAGGGTTTTCTGGTCCTCATTTGAGACACGATGTTGTGAGTTTGGGGAATCTCAGAGGTCACGCCGAGGAGGATCAGGTGTGAGAACCTCATGTGCTTCTGGGAGCAGCATGAATTTTTTCCTTTGTTCACAGAGGATATCACGGGGAATGTCAGCACTGTTGCGGGGAACCTCTTCCCCAGGTCCTGCAAAGAGCCATGTGCCCTGACATCCCGGTTTCTGTAGGTGATAGTCATTGGTTGTATGGCTGTAAGGTTGAGGGGAAACTGAACTGCTGCAATAACATTGGCTTCATAGGGATGGGAGGAGGCCACAGCTGACCAGATGGAGTGTGCCTCCTCTAAAAGCGTGCCCGCAAACACATCTATGCCAGGGACCGCAGAGCTGGTGTGCGTGCCAGTCCGTGGACCTCCAGGTGTAGTTACCTTGTGTAGCTTATGTCATGGTCATTGGAAGTAATGGAAAGGTTTTTTGGATTCCTATAACCTCTCAGCGATGTTCACCTCAAGACCATTGCTGCATAGGCAGTAAACAGATCGAGAAAAGGGGGATCTGTAGTCCAGGGATGTGGCTTTTGTGACCCAGCCAACAGTCCTTTAGACGCTGGTTGGAACCCCTTCATTGGTCACTACATTTGCTTTCACTGAGCAAAACTGGCCTCCACGGGGCAAGAATGTGCAGTGAATGTAGGGTTGCAAAACCTGTTTTCCAAAAAGAGTTGGGCAGATTTTTTATTTTGAATCATTTTTCAAAAGCTTTATTAAGGTATAATTTACATGTAATAAACTGTATATACTGGAAATGTAAGTTTTGACATACTTACGAACCTGGAACATCACAGTCACGGTAGTGATCATGTGTCATTGCATATTTACCTCGTGTCTTTTCATAATCTCTCTACCTGCCTTCCCAGCCCTCCCGAGTCATCATTGATTTGCTTTCCGTTATAATAGAAAACTTAATTTTCTATAATTTTATATAGTAGGAGTCAAAGTTTTTTTTCCTACTTTTATGTTGCATAAAGAATTGTAGATGCATCAGTGATATATAAGTAACTTGTTTCTTTGTTTTTGTTTTTTGGCTGAGAAATATTCTTATCTTTGAGGATAGCACTATTAGTTTACCCATTAGTTTATGGACATTTGGGTATTTCTAATTTTTGCCTATGGAAAATAAAGTTGATACAAACATTTGTGTGTAATTATATTGATATGTGTTTCACTTACCTTTTGTCAGTAACTCAGAGTAGAAAGTCTCAGTCTTAGGGTAGATAAATGTTTAACTTAAAGAAATTAGCAAACTGTGACCTAATTTATTATACCTTTTTGTATTCTTACCAGCAGTGGGTATGAGAGTTGCGTTTCCTTCATGTCTTAGTGAATGGTTTAGTTTTGGTCAGTTCTTAATTTTAACTCTTTTATAAGTGTGTAGTGCTGTTTAGTGTTTTAACTGAATTTTGCTAAGGAGTCATGATGAGCCTTTTTTTTCAGATGTGCGTTTGCTATCTATATTTTTGCTAAAATGTCTCTTCGTATCTTCTGCCTATTCTGTGAATTTTGATTCTCTTTTTATAAAAGGATGTGAAACAACAAAGATGTATGTTGGGATTTCACTCATTTTGTGGCTTTTTTACTTTGTGGAATCATTTTTAATACTGGAAGTATATGTTCTCATTGTTTTCAGTTTTTTTATGCTATGCATAATGTAATGGACACATACACACTTTTAATTTTAATCTACATTATTGACTTCTTCTTTGCTTTCTAAGGTCCAGACATTTAATAATACAATAAACCCTCGCTTTGTAGTGTGCGCCCATTTTCCTGGTGTATCTATGGAGGTTGGTGGGTTGGAGCAGGACTCTGGGGGCACCAGAGAGACTCAGGATGAAGAAGGTGTGTTTTGAGTCCCGAAGCCCAGCAGAGAGGGAAGTAAGGCACTGATGAGGATCTCCGTCCAAGCCCCGGTGCAGGGTGTGGAGATCCCCAGGAGACACGGGCAAACTAACCCCCTCTGTGGGCCTCAGATTCCTCCTGTGTAGTGGGCGTAAGGTCTGGGCTGCTCCATAGCATTTGGGGGAGGTTAAGAGCCGAGGTACCCATTCGTTGTTGTGGTGGCTGCACCCGTGGCCTCTCTAGTCCTGGGCACCTCCAGCCTCTGCAGGCAGTGACGTCCCTGGGCCAAGCAATCTTGTTTCGCCAGTCCCCCAAAGGCTCTCCACCCCTGGGTGTGTGTGAGGAGGAAACAGGGCTTCTCAGAACCTGCCGACCCACCCGCGGGGCAAGTGGCGCTTCTCAGCCTTGGAGTCTGGGCAGCTCGCTGTTGCTCCTTGGTGGCTGGTGCAGAGGTGGTGATGGTGCTCACCTCGGCCCCGAGAGGGTTACAAAGACACACCTGGAGCAGGTGCCAGTGTTGGGACTCCAGGGTTTGTGTTGTGAGCATCTTTGCTAATTCTCACAGCAACCTGAGGAGGTGGGAATGGGAATGAGGTTGTATTTCTAGGGAAGTCCAGGGTCAGAAAGCTAGTTGGTTCCCCAAGGTCATATAAGAGATGAGCACTGGTTCCAGAAACTGGATTCAAATGCAAATGACTAACTCCAGACCTGGCTACCTTTAATCCCTCTAGCACAGCTTGGGAGCGCTCAGCCCAGGGCAGGTGTATAGCAAGGGCCAAGGAGACACTGCTGCTGCTGTTCTTGGTGGAATTACCATCAGGACCATTTTCCCACTTGCCCTCTGCCCCCACAGTCCTCGTGGGAAAGCCATTTCGTCTCCAGTGCCACCCCTTTTCTCTCAGCTGCGGTAGCATTGTGCAAAGGCTGCATCTGTCTCCTCGAGCCCAGCACAGAGCTTGAACCTCAAGATGCCTTGGTGACTCCGGGTTGGATCTCTGCGTCTTTATCAGCAGTGGAATGACCGCTCTGATCCTACCCACCACCTGAAGGTCAATCTAATGCCTTAGTTTTACTTTTTCAGGTGTTCATGACTGCAACTCTGGTGGGCTGTATGCAGCCCAGAGGATCCAGTGCCTGGGCATGCGCCGGAGACCTTTGGGCTCCTGGTCCAGCTAGGTAAGGAAGGCCTCACCTCTCCAAGCAGCCTCTCTCTCCCCTGCTGCAGCTCTGTTTTTCCCATACGATGCAGCACTGAGCTCCAGAAAGTGCCAGGTCCCAATGCAGCCTCTCTTTCCACAGCTGTGTGACCTTGACACACAATCCCGGTCTGATGAAGGACGGGGCAGCTGCTTCTGAGGGTTAGTTATTTGCTTGGCCCCCCCGCGCCTGCAACACCGACATCAGAGGTAGAGGCCAAGGTTGCAATGGTAGGTAGACATCAGGTGACGGTGGCAGCAGGACGGTAGCTGGGGTGAAGTTGGAGGTTATAAGGTAGGCGAATACCGGCTGTTACAGGCCTCAAGTAAGGGAAATCAGAAGTGCCCAAGGGAGACTGCAGAGTGTGGCGGAACCAAGGATAGAATCCGGTGGCAGAAGACCTGGGCCCTCTCCCTGCCCTGCCACTTGTTGCTGTGTGACTTCAAGTAAATTAGTCTCTCTGAGCTTTGCTTCCTCATCTGTCTGGTGGAGACTATGCCTGCGCCCCAGCTACCTCACATGGTCATTATGAGAAAGAGATGATGATGATTGCAAAAGTGCCAAACCGGTACTGGTTACCGTTTTTGCTACAACTTTGGTTTTAAGATCTGGTACCTGACCTAAAGGTGCTCACAGCCTGTTTCTTGTGAAGAAAAGCGCCTGCAGCAGTGAGAAGGCATAGAAGTCAAATCACTGTGTCGTGCGTCTGAAACTAGTGTCACATGGTGCATGAACTGTACTCAGGTGTTAAAAATTAGAAGGAAAGGAAGGACAGAATCGAGAGGGAGGGGGCAAGGAAGGAAAAGAAAGACAAGACAGCACAGGCTCTGCCAGAGAAGGGGCATAGACGATGCGCCCGGCCAGCTGCAGTCCGGGCTGGCTGGGAGGTCCTGGGTGGCTCAGTGCCTAAGGTGACTGCGGCTTCCACCCCCGCAGCAATGGGACTTTGAACAAACCAAATGGGAATTTCCTGGCCAACACTGGGAATTATCCCTTGATAGACCCTTTGCTTCCCCTTAGGAGGGCAAGCTTTTCTAAAACAATGCATTCCTTGCTAATAAATGTCCATTTTCTATACCGTCTCTGCCATTAAAAACTTGCCATTTTGTACACCTCCTCGGAGCTGCCCTCTACTTGCTAGATGGGATGCCGCCTCATTGATAAGTCCTTTAATGAAGCCAATTAGACCTTCCCTTTAACTCAGTTGAATTTTTTTTTTAAGATTTTATTTATTTATTTGACAGAGATCACAAGCAGGCAGAGAGGCAGGCAGAGAGAGAGAGAGGAGGAAGCAGGCTCCCCGCAGAGCAGAGAGCCTGATGTGGGGCTCGATCCCAGGACCCTGGGATCATGACCTGAGCCGAAGGCAGAGGCTTTAACCCACTGAGCCAGCCAGGCGCCCCAATCAGTTGAATTTTTTTAAACAGTTTTAACCCTATCAACATCTATTTTATTCATCCCATGTTAAAATAATCATGCTTTTTTTGTTCCCCCCAACCAATATTTGTTTTACTCACTTTATTCCTTAATACTGTTTTAAAAATTTGTGCCCTGCTAAAACCAGTCTGTTGACTCTGTCTCCTGCTTTTTCCTACTCTTGTTAATTAATGTAATATTTTTATTATCTATAAGACCCGTGAGGGAAAGCTGAAACAACATTTTGTTTGTTTTTAAGATTTCATTTATTTGAGAGAGAGAGCGTGAGAGAGCACACGAGCAGGTGGAGCAGCAGACTCCCCGCTGAGCAGGGAACCCGACGCGGGGCTCAATCCCAGGACTCTGGGATCATGACCTGATCTGAAGGCAGAGGCTTAACCCACTGAGCCACCCAGGCGTCCCAGAAACATGTTAAGGCTTCCTGAACTGTCCAGTCTTACAGCAGTAGGGCCGCGTGGGGCGCCCATGTGAGCAGGGCCCCTTAACCACAGCTTTTCCCATGACCCTGTAACAGGCATATTCAGTGCGTGCATATCCCAGTCGCAGAGTCAGGCCCACACGGCTGCATACCAAGCACATCGGCAGCTTCATCTGGGATGCTCCATTCGGCATCCATGGGGGGAAACAGACCCCTCATCAGGATTGACACAGCCTTCTGGGACTTTAACTCCACTCCGCCCGTTGGCTTTCCTCTAAGGACTACCTTCTATGTGTCTCCGTCACATACAGCCATCTGCGATGATTTCACAGCGAGCCGTGGGTCCCGTATCAATACAAACATACTCTTCCATTCTGCAGCATTAAAACTGAAGACATAGCCCTCAAATTAGTTACTCTCATAACCCATTTTCTGTAAAAGTTCTGATGTTACCGATCTATAAAGTGAAAGAACTCCTTCATAGTCTGCCCCCTGGTTTCAAGGTTTTTGGTTTGCCCCTCCACCGTGTTTATGAACTTCTTGGTGAGCAGAGATCATAGAATTACTTTGTTATCCCCCCACAGTTTTTCTCTTGGGAGGCCGCTTTGAAGCCAGTGGGTGGAGCGCAGATGTCCTGAAATGGGAGCTTGGTCTAGCAACCAAGTCTGACCCAGCTTTCTCCTTTACTTTCAGTTGAGCTGTGGATATTTTCCTGTTTCTCAGTAGTGTGCACTTCTGCATCCAGGGAGCCAGCCCCCCCAGGAGTTAACTCCATCTCTGAATTCCGTTGGTAAGTTTTATCTTTAGTAACTGATTGTAACACAGCTACTGCTCCGTATCATGGTGACCACCAGGACCAGGCGGCTGCTCAGGAACCAAAGGTTATTTATATTTATCTCTGACCCTCTCCTCCTCCTCTTACCAAACCACATGTTTCCACGAGCAGGCATTGTTCTAGCAAAACCTCCTTCATGACACCAACTACCTTCTGCATCAACAGTTCCAGCGAAAGAGGGTGTTGCCATGCCCACCCTGAAATAATATAATATATACGTATGCGTACGTATATATACACACACACATGTGAATGCAGGCATGCACATGTGTGCATATTTCAGGTGTGAATGAGAAATGGTAGTGTTGGAAGAAGTCATCAGGAAGACATGACCGCTGGTTGCTGCAAGAGATGGGCCTGGGCAATCAGAGGCTTTTTACCCCCTCCCCATCCTTGGAATGTCCATTCTGCTTGCCTTCCCTGCACTGGGCTGCCCAAGGACATGGCCTTGAGTTAGTAAGGTATTGATGCCCTCTGGTTGGTGCATGCAGCCCATCCTAGTTAAGGCTTCTGCATAACTGTCAAGATCCTGGTGGGCACGTGCAGAGATCTGTTCATCCTGCAGTCACCCGGGGGCAGGCTTCACACGTACGTTCCCTGCCACCTACCAGTGCGGGGTGGTCTGCCTCTGTCTTCCTTGTGTGGGGGGCAGTTTCAGATTATACCCAGGAAGCTCCCCAGATTGTGAACTAAAAGGTAGAAGGAAGAAGTAATTGTTTCAATGTGTCCAGCATTTGTAAAGATTTTTCAAAAGAGACTCAGAGTGAAGAGCACTGATGAGATTATCTATCAAGAGATCTGGTTAAGCAATTTTTCTTTGCCAGCTCCTTCGGGCTTCCCCTCTAAGGAATTCCTTAAGACCATGACAGCTTTGGAAGGAAATACTTTCTAGGTGATGTTGGACATAAACTTGTCCTTTATTTTCACAGAGGGCCAGAAGGACCTGTCTCCGCTCATACAGCTTCTGGGCCAGTAAGCTCTCCCTGGAATTTTAGGTGGGTGAAGCTGAGAATGATGTCCCCAGAGTGCA